TTCTACTCGATGTGTTTTTCGCTGTGTTTATTTTCACATTTTTCTGTTTCATCGCCACGCCACTTGTCTAAAATTAATTTAGAATACATCGTTTAAAGGTGTTTTGATGTATAAATAACAAGGTGGAGAAATGGTGCTGGGTCCACACCATTTCGCGGGGAAAACAAAGCCAAGAGCTTCCAAAAATTAATTTTAGGGACAAATACGGAATTTCGACTCTAATTTTAATTATTGGGATTTAAAACGTCGTGGATCCAGCACAATTTCTCCACCTTGTTACACACAGTTCGGGCCACATCTTAGTGTTTTTTTTTTCATTTGGTATAAATAACTTTGTTTGTTTCCTTATTGCATATGTTTTTAAATTTGAAATATCCCACAGGGGAAATCCCACACTTGTAATTAGAGCCAAATCCCAATAATTGACTTTTTTTTGTAAAAAATCCTCCATGTCCTCTCCTCCTTGTTTTTAGAATGATTCATCTTCCCTCAAAGAGAGAAAATGTTTAGAAAAAAAGGTACAAAAAGGGATTTCTGAGTTTATCCATGTCTTTGGCCGACAGGCCTAAAATATAGCCACATTGTAAATCTAATTAAGATCACGGACTTCCAGTCGGGAAGTAAAGTTTTAGACCATCTACCTATGTGCTTTCTGCGTGGCATTACCCTATGAAAATAATAGGTTTTAAAATCAGTATTAGTCAAAATGTGTATATCTTTAGTAGTCATTATTAATGAGACTAAAATTTTAGCAAACCTATTAAGTATACGCACGAACGCTGTGAATGATATCATCAATCGTGCTTTTCAAGATCTATACAGGGTTATCCAAAAGTCACTGACCACCCCTGTAACTTTTTTCCAAATTGAGATAGAAGTTTGAAACTTTGAGAATGTTCCTCGGTCTAAGGTAGCAACTTTTTGGTCCCCCCAAAATTTTGGGGGGCAGCCCCCCTTAAGGGGGGCGGGGGCTAACTTTTTTTTTCAAATGGCAACCCCCCCTTTGTGATACCTCATTCGAAAGATAATAAAAAAAGAAAATATTTGGCGCAAACCGCAGGTCAAAATGTTCATTTTTGACAAAATGGCGGCCGGTCAAAGTTCAAAATGGCGGAAATTTGGCATCTCCGTTGTTTATTGACGGATTGGTGTGAAACTCGGAAACCTAGGGTTTTTTGAGATGAGAAAAAAGATTCTGGCATTGGTTTTCCAGAAAAGTCAGTCCTTTTCAAAATGGTGGCGATCAAAATGGCGACCTAGAGTGGGAAGTGGATATTTAGGCTGCATATCGTTGGATTTGCAGGGAACTTGGTTTCTGGGGGTGTTTCGGCACGAAAAGAACGAATCTTTCATTGGATATCTGAAATTTTGAAAAATTCCAAAATGGCGGCGGAAAAATGGCGGGAAATCAGTTTTACGGCTCTTTACCAATGGATTAGCATGAAATTATTTGATATTTCAAGAATCTAATGAAAGATTCCTTTTAATCCAACCGAAAACTGCCAGAATATCGAATTTCATGGTAATCCATTGGTAAAAAGCCGTAAAACTGATTTCTCGCCATTTTGGAATTTTTCAAAATTTCAGATATCCAATGAAAGATTCGTTCTTTTCGTGCCGAAACACCCCCAGAAACCAAGTTCCCTGCAAATCCAACGATATGCAGCCTAAATATCCACTTCCCACTCTAGGTCGCCATTTTGATCGCCACCATTTTGAAAAGGACTGACTTTTCTGGAAAACCAATGCCAGAATCTTTTTTCTCATCTCAAAAAACCCTAGGTTTCCGAGTTTCACACCAATCCGTCAATAAACAACGGAGATGCCAAATTTCCGCCATTTTGAACTTTGACCGGCCGCCATTTTGTCAAAAATGAACATTTTGACCTGCGGTTTGCGCCAAATATTTTCTTTTTTTATTATCTTTTGAATGAGGTATCACAAAGGGGGGGGGTGCCATTTGAAAAAAAAAGTTAGCCCCCGCCTCCCTTAAGGGGGACCGCCCCCCAAAATTTTGGGGGGACCAAAAAGTTGCTACCTTAGACCGAGGAACATTCCCAAAGTTTCAAACTTTTATCTCAATTTGGAAAAAAGTTACAGGGGTGGTCAGTGACTTTTGGATAACCCTATATATATCCAGTAACATTATTCGAGGATTATATTTGAAAAAAAAACCATACTATATTCTTGCCCATGTCATACAATCATCAAATCTTTAGACCCACGCGGGGTGTCGTTCTTCATAACAACGGGTGCAAACTCTGCCGAAAGGGAGGTGGTAGTTCCTGTACTTGGCACGTACGTTCAATACATGAGCAAGTTTTTCTCGTCCTTAAATCTTGCCGCCAGATACCGCAGAAGGAAGTCGCAGGCTCTTTCACGCGGCGATGTAAATCAGAGACTGAGGCTCTAAGTAAGGATTATCACACATCCGTTACCGTTATGCACTCTCTCGAAGCTTTTGAAGATTTGCTTGAGATGGAAGTCGCAAAATTCGGATGAATTCAGCAGTATGTAGAGGAGCCCTCATCGAGCATCCTGTCATTGCCACGCATAGTCTCGGCTTTGAAACTTTGAAAGAAACACATCGGAAAGTACTACTTTTTTTGGCTACCGGAAGGAGGGGGAGGGGGGAGGGTGGGCAGGGTTGCCCCCTCCCTCTCAAATTCAAGTATACTTATAGGGGTAATAATGCTCCTTCAATTTAACTTCCTCAAATCCTGAAAAAAGATATAAAAATGTGTTTACAATGAAAGAATCATATGATCTGAAGGGACTAGGGAGAGGAGAGGGATGTTTAGGGGGGCTGGGGGGCAGCCAATGGGTGAAAAAAAAATTGGGAACCTTGGTTATAGAAGTCAAAGTATGAAAATCATAAAATTCATCCAAAAATAGAGAAGAGAAGCATTGTAGCCATCAAATTACCATATATTCTCAGTTCGGGCCTCGCAGGCCCGGGTTAGTCATTCGTGTAGGTAAAAACGGTCAGTCATCTAAGGGTTAAGTACATACCTACCAGTGGCGTGGCGTGAATTGCGATATATCGATTGTTATGCCATTTAAACCTATGGTAAAGAATCGATTATTAAGGTGTTCGCTGCGAACACCCTGTTTATCGATCCTTTTACATGGGTTTAAATGGCATGACAATCGATATATCGCAATTCACGCCACGCCACTGATACCTACCTATTTACGGAAGGTTTGTACATATCGGTTATTTTGTGGTCAGGTCATGGGGCTTTTAGGGCCTAAAAGGGCAGCCAATCTATGAATTCAAATAATCCAGCGTGATTTATTATTACAATTGTTACGATCCGTCTTTTGTAAAAAACGGATTTGACTTAGTTTTGACATAAATTTACTCATTTTTGGGGGAAGAAAGCTCATTTATGAACACTCTTGGCGATCTTGGTTCGATATTGGAATATGAAGATTGGCAATGACATTTTTGCGTTAGCAAGTTGTAAGCCCTTTTGGGCCTTAAAAACTCTATATTTAGACACATCCTTACTCTTTACTCTCGGTATGGCACCATGGCGATGAACTTTTTTCGAAATTGCAATGAACACGGATACTTCTGCAATTTTGTTCTCTTTCTCCGTCAAGTTTTGCTCAGTCGTCGCTTGTTCCGGGTCTCTGGCCGCCGCCGTATTCATTATGCAGGTGGCTGTTAGAGGAATAAACGAATAATTCCTGTGCTGCGAAACCTGATCCCTCGTGAAGGACAAAAATGAAAAGAAAACATATTTCCCACAAAGCCCGTGCATGTCTGCCTTTTGCGCCCGACTTAAAGTTCTTCACGGTTTGAACAGTCGCTGAGTCGTGAAAGATTGATATGGATACTATGCCTCTGGAAATTAAACTTTAACTTACTTTTGCCTCATCACTATGTTCTCAAGATGAAGGACTCAGAACAACCGAGTCAGTACCTTATCACTCACTGGTATATTTTATATCATCGGTACCTATTTACCAAGGTCATGTATATAGGTACCTAAACTTATCTATCTCGAATCTAATCGCACGGTTGAATTTTCCTATTCAAGCTCAATCGAATACTTTTTATTCCCGCCACACTGTGGATCGAGTCAATGGCAAAGGTCGGACAAGAACTTTTTGACTGAAACTACACAGTTTTATGTCTATTTGGTCAAATTTCAAATTTTAGGGGGTGCCTCTATCAGTAAATTTTACAAAGAAACCAATGAAACCTCTTTTAAACCTCAATATTTTGTTTTAATGGAGTTATAAGCTTTTAAAGTTTTCGAAGTTTGTTCAACTACTTCGATTGACTCGTTCCATTGTGCGCCGTAGCCAGTGGCGTGGCGTGAATTGCGATGTATCGATTGTTATGCCATTTAAACCTATGGTAAAGAATCGAGTATTAAGGCGTTCGCTGCGAACACCCTGTTTATCGATCCTTTTCTATAAGTTTAAATGGCAAAACAATCGATACATCGCAATTCACGCCACGCCACTGGCTATAGCTCAAGTCTAAAATTACGGCTGGAAAATATTTCTATCTTCTCAGTCCAATATTTTTGTATCATCTAGGGTGCACTTGGAACAAAAATCGTACATCAATCCACAGGCACACATTTTATTTTTTCATACCCACTAGTATCACAAATCAACTATTTATTTTCATATTGACTCGAATAATATCAAAATGCTAGCGTTCTTGTCTCTCAGATCGAGCAATAATGCGACTTTTGGAAGATTATAAAATAAAAACCCATTTAAACTTAGCAAGTTCCTCGTTAAAAATAACCGTATCGCATTCTTCGTGTACGATGCCGAGAAGCGCAATTCTGGTAGGTAGGCTAAATTGCTCTCTGGGTCTAAGTGATCGATTTCGTTGTACATCACATGTACTTACACACGATCTTAGAGGTTCATTTTTTTATTATTTTTGTTTTTCTGTAGATTAGTTTGTAGTATTTATAAATGTGATGAAACATACAAAAAGCTCAAGTTGGTTGTTTTTGTGTGCGTAGGGGCCGGAGAGGAGCCGCTAGTAGATTCCGCCTTGCGTCCAAGTACGTTCACACTATTATTTCCATTAAATGTTGTTATCCAGTATGTCTCATACTCTATTGAAATAGAGGCGTAAATGTTCCACCTGAGAGAATTAGTTTCACTCAGCTCTAAGATTCAAAATGAATTGGAAAAGCATGTTACATTCTCGTTTTTGGAAATTAAAATAATCATCTACTTTTGTTTATTTTCTGATGAAATGGTATCAGCTTTAAAACTCTAGAAATAGATACCGATTACGATCAAAAATGAGGATCCACAACCCCCCCCCCTCCTGCCTCCCCCCTATATTCAGAGTCTACTCTCTCAATTTTATTCAGGGGTCTAGGTATAGGGTGGAATCTTGAGAAAAGGTGTGCCCCAAAATTGAAATTCCTGGAACCCTGCATCTGAGAGACAATACTTACAAAGGCCGTGCAATCATTTTTGTCTGTGAATTAATTTTCTCCTGCAAAAAAGATTAAGTTTCTAAAAACTTTTGCTTTGTTTTCAAACTTATGTTTCAAAAATTTTGGAAAGGTATTGTAAGACAGCGATAGACAAAACTATTGATTATCGTCAAATGAGAGCAAATAGTGTCGAGCCTCGTCGTGATGACGTATATAGATGAACCATTGAATGGTTTATCTGTAATCGGTAAATTAATGGTCTGTCTAAGTTTCTAGAGGTAGTATCAATATACTCTTTGAGAATTTGACTCGTAAAAACTACGGCTGTTCAGTTTGGCTGTTCTCAAATCTTAAACGATTCAATGAGTGACATTTTTTTTTTGTTTATAGAAACCGGCAAGGCAGAAATGAAAAAAACATCAATCTTCCATCAATATTGCCTAATAAGTGAATTTTTACGCTAATAGTGAGCCCTTACTGCTTTCTCCTCCAACAAAGTTGTTTTCCATTTTTTAATGATGCTGATCACGCTTCATGAATATTAATCTGTGTACAGAAAGTTCGGCTAAACTTAGACGTAACACAAACTTTCAGGAATTCGTATGACTTTGCTAAAAATTTAGTTAGCATTTTTCTCTCGTAAGGTTTGTCCAAAGCCAAGCTTAATCCCAAATTGTTTTAATAGTGATATAACGATTTTTCTAGCTAACCATATACAGCTTACAATCTCGTTAAGTCGCCTGAAGCAGGGAACACTTTTTGCTTGATTATATTGGAAACTTGAATTTTATTAATCTCATAACGATTATCCTTGATTGTAATGTACATTCTTGATCAAAGCTGCTCGATAAATCAATGATCAAGGTCCGTCGATCGATTTTTGTACGACTTCGTTTCCCAGGGCTTCCTAATTAGATGAATAAGCCTTAGGAAATAATTAGCATCCAAGCGACTTAAAACTCACAGAGCGTGGCACGAAATTGCATGCCCTCATTACTGTTGAATTAGGCGAAGTTAAGAGCAAGGAATGTGCCCCTTGACTTCTCCGTAATAAATGTCATCAAATTTGGTCCTGCGCGTGGTTCGCTGATCCTGCATGAACTTTTGTCATATTAAAATTTTGCTTCGACTAACATGCACGACCCAGATTCAGGTCGGAAAGCTTCAAGTTGAAAACGGTAAAAATGATGTTAAGTACCCAAAATTAGTGTAAGGATCTGAACTTAAGGCCGAGCTTCTACACGTCTCGATGTAGTCTTGCAACGTTTTAATTTCCAGTTGAATATTTTAACCTGCATGATTTTGGCGAATAATGTGCGAATGCTTTGATAGCTCAAACACTCGCATCGGCTGAAATGCAATGAGCCAATCGCACTAAAATATTACCCTCTATAAAAACCAACAACAAACAAAACAAACAAACAAACAAACAAACAAAACAAAAAAATAAAATCCATGACGTAAATAATTAAGTACAAGATTATTTACTTTTCAAACGAATACGGTTTTTAAATTTGGATTTTTTTGAACCACATTTTTTAAATAGGAACTACCATTTCAGGCTCATCTACAAAAAGCACCCACCTTCTAAGGGAAACCTATTGCACATATGACGTCTCTACATTTAGCCAGAAATTGTAGTTCCCAATAATTGCTACATGAAGTCCGGTTTTAAAAATGAACAGCAACGAAATTCTTATAAAATGTTTCAATTAAGTCTTTGCGCTCCCTGGCATTAATTTCAAAACAGTGGCCGATCACGTGATCTCTGATCAGTTGAGCATAAATGTACCCAAAATTACCATCTTGAACCCAGAAAAAATATATTGAAGTTCTCGCGACACCGGAGGTTTCGTGCGAATTAATCGAGAGGCTTATTGGTCCATTAGTCACTCTATTTACCTTATTTTGAAATCTATCTAACTTGTATTTGAAGTAATCAGAAAGTATGAACAGTATCCTAATAGTGTCAACTGCTCGTAATTTTGTGACTTCCTTCATTCCGTTACACTAACCGTTGCCGAACTAGAGTGTCCGGTGCGCTGACCATTTCGCCTTCAAAATTTCAGGTAGGCAATGTAAGCCGCTTGAGAGCCGGAATAGTTGCATGCGACAGTTAGACGGCGTCCTATAGATTTCAGTTTCACTGCCTCGCGCGTGAATTACTCTACCTGCTTACTGCGACTCGCGATCATTCCGACCAGGTCCCCTACAATAATCTGATCCGTCAATGTGGGCGGCTAAGAAGCATTAATAATTGCTTATGATAGCTCGGCTGCGTCTTAGTGGTTTGGCAATGGATTTAAATATTTTATCATCTTGGTCTACTCAGATAATGTATACAGAGCCACTGTATTCTTTAGTGTTGGCATAACGTTGACATTGTTTAAATATAGAAATGGATAGGACTTGGGATAAGATACTAATGGGTAAAAGTGGCCAAAGTCTGGATTTGTGTTTCTGCATGGGCCCGACTGAGAGGCAAAAGAAGTACGCACTCGCATAGGAGCGCAAGAATTTCTCGAATTTCTTTCCCTTGCTTCATGTTGAAGAGATTTAAATGGTTTTTTTCTTCATATTTTTAATTTATTATGTCCTTCATGAACCGCACACGTCGTTTTTGAACTTCAAAAACTCTAAAACCAAGTTTAAAATAATTGTGTATTTCTTTCCTTTGGTTTCCAGAAGATTTTACCTATCCCACTTTTCTCTTTGTCCTTTTTTGTCCTGCTTTCACCCGTTGAACAGGAGGTGGGAAGGGCCAAATCTGGTGCTAGCAGTGTGGTGTCAATTCCCCATCACGATGGCCTGGTGTGTTCTCAAAAACATAGTTATTATTGGGTGCAAAATTTCCGCTTAGGGGGAGGGAGGAGGTTATCTACCATCCTCAGCGCAAAAGTTAACCTTGAGGATGAGGATATCAAAGTCCCGGGTGAGATAGGTGTTTCATTAGAGTTGCGTCAATCCCTGCTGGGTGAATGGCTCTGGACGATTATCTGTTTTACCCTCCCTACTAAGCTATTTTGATATTTCATTCCAAATGTTTTGCTTTGAAATTTACTTCGTTTCAAGTATTCACTCCTTCATTCATCGTGGGATGGACATTCAATACGTATATTCTGACTAGATTCAGCAGGGAATAGTCCGCACCTCTGACCGATGCCGTTCGTTGGCTAACACGTTGTAACAGCCAGAGGGCACTGTAACTGAAATATTCCTTAGAAAATCTCGGTTATATTAGTAGCACGTCAGGTTTATAGGGAGATGAGAGGAAAGGTAGAATGAGCGCTCGCGCCAGAGGTACTCTGCAAGTAGGGCGCCCTCTCGACTTGATTCACACTTTCTTTTTGACCCCGTCAAATCTTTCGGTTTTGTATTTTGTGTTTCTCCGTGAATTTTCATTCTCTCTGGCGCTATCTTCCTTCAACTACAACTCTAAACACCATTTAAAGAATTAGAAGAACGAATGAGATATCCTCTGAGTGAAATGTTATACTTTTCATGCAGCTTGATTGCATGTTGATTGTCTGTAAGTGACCGTGCCGGAGGGATAGGGGTGCATAAGACGCGTTTACTCGTGTTGGGCACATTTTTTGTGAAAGCCCTGTCAACACTGGCAAAAGTTCACGGAACTTTGCGCGAAAGTTATGTTCCGTAAACCTATCTCTGTGTGGACAAGGTCTTTTATTTATAAGAAATGAACGGAAAAATTATACAAGAATAAACATCAATTTGGTTTAATGATTTTAATTTCCGTCGCCGCGCCAGCCGCACTGTGTTTGGCGCAATGCGTGAAGTATCCCTACAGAGTTGTAGGCGCTATGCGTTTCACGAAAACCGCGACCGCTCACTGCTGCTGACCTCACTGTTTTTGACGCAATGCGTGAAGTATTCATGCAGTCTTGCAGGCACTATGAGTTTCACGCCAGCCGTTGCTGACCGCACTACGTTTGACGTAATGTGTGAAGTATCCATAGAGTCTTGAAGGCGGTGTTTCATGCTGACCGGCGCGCCGAGGGCTTCTCCTTTTCATCTCAAGTCCTCGTCATCATTGCTCTCTGCGCCGCGCCGCTCCAGGTCAAATTTCGTGTTTAGTTCCTCTCTTAACTAGACTAATGAAAGGCGCTGTCTTTTGTATCACCGGAAGATGAACAAATTAGAAATTACTATACTTTAACTCTCAGGAAATGAGAGATTTTGTCGCCTTTTCTCGTCTGTAATGTTTTTTTCTGAATCCGATTTTTTTATGCCTACATTTGAAAAAATTGCAACATTTGCGGCCATGGGCCGCGGCCCGTGTGGCCACCCCCTAAATCTGGCCCTGGTCCCAGACCCAAATAGCACAGGTTGCCACAAATTGAAATTGCATGGTAAGTTAATAGACTAACTAGACTAATTATATTAATTAAAGAATGCTCTTTAATTAATATTAAAAGGTATTCCATTAAAATTCAAATAACTTGCAATGTTATTGCATCGCGAACTGCCAAAAACACGTGCGCGAATCTCATTTTATTGATCGCGTAAAATTGACATTTATTGACCGAGTGATATAGGATTATTGAAATTTCATGATAAATAGATTGAAATTTTATTGCAGAATTGTTTCAATATTTACGTCGAGCTGTGCTACTTGGGAAGTTCAATGAGCTCCATGATCGTGGCCTCTGTTGGAACATGGGGCGTAATACTGCCGTGCTAAGCAAGAACGCCGTAAATCCATTAAGATTTTCCCTCCTTTTTTGGAACTGAACACTTCATAAAATAAAAACTGTTTTACCCATGCACCTCAAATTTTCAGGTTAAGTTTTTGATAGTATTTGCGAAAGAATTCTGTAAAAACATTGTCTCAAGGTACACAAGTTTTTCTGCAATGATACATTGTTTCCAAAAAATGTAAAATGGCGTTTACGGCGTTTTTGCGTTGCACGGCAGAATATTCCAGTGGTTCAAGCTTAAAAACATTTTTGGAATTTGCAAGGAAGCTACAAACATGCCCTCGCGATTTATTTTCGCGTACCTTCCCATCTCTTTTAAAAGTGCTCTTTTGGTGTGTTTCAGAGTGTGACTCGCAGTTCGTGAGTGTTGCCGGGGGACCAACGAACGGGACCTTCACAGCGCCCGTCTTCGAGAACTCCGGCGGACAGTCTGTTCAGTGTGTTTACACCTTCGTAGCAGCACCTAATCAACGGGTAGAAGTTGTTTTCACTGCCTTCAATCTCCGTGGCACTCCTCCGGAGTAAGTGTCCATCTCCATTTATCAAGTTTCTTCAAACGCCTTTCAAGGAAATATTAAATCCGAAAATCGAGGAAAACTTTTAGGAAAATGTTTATATTATACTCAATGTCGGCCTCCTGTGGCGTGATAGTTGTAGCGCCTGCTCTATGTGATTGGGAGCCGCATTGGCAGATCCAGCAAATTAGTAACATAGCCTTTCCTCCATTTAAACCTATGGAAATGTATCGATTCTTGGAGGGGCCAAGTGCTTTGAGAAGAATCGATTATTTAGCATAGGTTTAAATGGAGGTTTGGTGTCGCCGAATTGCTAGATTCGTTTCTATTGGGAGTCCCGGGTTCGATTCCCGGCCAGGTGACCCGAGTTTGATGGTCTTGAGCAACGGTTACCTGGGGCTGGCTTGATTAGGGACTGAGGGGGATGGAAATTAGGGACTGTAAGCATGAGATTATCACTTCAGGGATATTTAAAGTGGGGGAAAAAATCGCACAAGAACGCGATTTTCTTTCTAACCTGTTTGTAATGTTTCCAATCGTAAGTTTTGTCGAATATATACATCAGATTCTTTGATTTTGTTGCCTTCGAGAGCCACGGTTCACCTGTTCCCTGCGAGTATCATTGCAAAGAAAATACCTCACACTGAAAAAAAAAAAAAAAAAAAAAAAAAAAAAAAAAAAACACATTGGATCTAGAGTCCAGACTCTTGAAAACACTTACAAGAAATAATACTCTTGATTCAATCGGATTTTTGCTTGAATCAAAACGAAATCCGCTTAAATTAAGATGATTGGTTCTTGATTTAAGCTAGATTCTGATTGAATCGAGAGTACTTTTTTTGTCGATGTTTTTAAGAGTCTGGACTCTAGATCTAATGTGTTTTTTTTCCAGTGCATGTTGACATTTTGATAAAATTTCACTTAAGCCTGTTATGCAAAACAATATTGCTGTGCTGGATCCACATCGGAAGATCGGTTATTATTTTAAATTGAGAATCGCGAGAATCTCTTGTATTTGTTTATTTGTTTCCTTTATTGCTGTATGCCCTGTGCTGGCTGCCGGAAAATAATCCAGGCACTTTAAAAAGTTGCGTGGAGAAAATTTCAGCTTGATTCTTTGCTTCTCATAATTTATCAACAATTTTGTTCAAAAGCACTCTCTCTAATTATAACTTCCGCGTGAATCTTTCTAATCATATTTTTTACTGCCAGCTTCATTGTGCTGCGCGAACCTCTGTTTCAAGCATTTTTTTATCTCAGTCCTAAATCCCGATGTTTTGTTGTTTTATTATACGTCAGTCGATTTTTCTCTCATACTGTTTACATTCAGATCAGTGCTTGTGAGGTCTATTTTACTCTTGGCTAATTGTTAAAATTTTTAACAAGATTAGATAGGAAATTGAAATCTCCCCACCCCCTATTTTCGAAAAATATATCACCAGCTATTTTTATGCCCGCAAGCGGAACTAGGGGACAGCTGAAGGGCTTGCGCCAGTAGCCTTGCCCTCTCATTTTCTCTAACGTCAAGTAAAAACTAGACCGGTTTCAGAGATTGTAAGGGATTTCGCGAAATAATACCCTTTTTAAAAATAAATTGTATTCAATAAACTTTTCATTGAGGAAAGATCAAACTCAAAGCTGAAGGTATCATTGTTTCATTTATCCCTTCATTCGTACTGTTTGACGAGATAAGAATATCGATTAAAACTTTTTCCTCTTTTCCATTTTCACTGAGCAAAAATGCAGCAAATGTATCCACGAATTTATCACTAAACGGATTCTGTCTGCGCGGTGTTAATCTTAATAGGTGTTGGTTGATGATGTTTAATCCCTCCAAAAAAGGCAGAGGGGAGAACATTATCTCCTTTACGTTTTAGAAAAAAAAAAAAAAAAAAAAAAAAAAAAAAAAAAAAAAACGGGAATAAAATCAACAAAAGTTACCTAAAGCCACAGAAAAATGAAGTCACCTACAATCATGGCTCCATTAAACGTACACTTTATAACCGAAGTTTGTTCCGATAGCTTCGCAGTTAGATAAGAGAGTGAAAAGAGGGGTGAGTAACGAATAGGTATCTCCAACGTTGGAGCTCACGGCACGGCTGCATGAGTGAATAAATTTGTCGAGGATGTGATATTCTGTTTTTTACTCGCAGACACACTCTTTCTTTCAGTGGGGGATTTCAATCATACTTCTCACCTGGCAAACTCTCCCCCTCCATCTCTACCCCTCATTCCATCGTTAATCAATACAGCCTCAATTCTCAGAGGAAACTCTTTACTACTTCGATTGTTCTCGTTCCACGCTGTTGTCTGATTATCGTGTGGCATCGCACAAGCTGGGGGTTTTTTATTTTGCTTTCGAGTCAATCGAACGCTTCGGGTTTGTAAATCTCACCCGATGCTGTACAACGGTGTGGCAGCTCGTTAAATGAAGCTACTGTACGGATTTTATATTTTGCACATATTCGTCTGCTCTCAGCTGGAGCCCTGTCCCCTATCCCCACTCCCGCCCTTGCTGCAACCCTTGTCTCAGCCGCCACCCCCGCACCCGTGCGTGCCTCTGACTAGCAAACTGAATGTTTCGCCGATAAAGACTCCTTCGTCTCGTTAATAAGAATCTCGAGGAGGCTTCAAAGTTGTTAGTCAAAAGTTGAAAGTTCTTGTCGAAAATTCCGTCTTTTAACGCCTCATTTTTTGTAGCCCTCTTTTATTTTTTGTTATATATATACATATATACCGATGGCCGAAGTGCAAAACCTTGTATCTCAGTTTATGACGTTGTAGACTTTCTGTTATACTTTATTTTTCCTTTGAAGACTGGTCAACGCAATTTCTTGAAATTGTCCTTGATTTTTTTCCCCTCTGAAACAGAATATTTTATCTTAATTTCAAGCTATCAAGTTGGCTTGTTACTTTTCGAGAAAATAAAATAGGGGTGGATATTGAAACGCCGCAATGGAGATACGTGGTTTCACACTTTAGCCATCGATATATCTATGCGTTTGTAAAGAATGTGGCAATTCATCTCAAAAATACCAGAGTGAGCTTGTTCATGAAATGTCTCCATTTCATGAAAAGAGAATATTATTCGCTCAAAAAAATATTTCCTCCCCTGAAAGTGTGTTCCTAGTAAATTAAGAACTATATATCGTCTGATAAAGGGAACCGAGGGGAGAATTTGAAAAAGAGAAAAATTTCTGTGTAGAAATGACTTTGTGTGTAATAATACACAAAGTCGTCTCTGCCAATTGGCATTTCCCGTGTATTGTACTAAGTTCGCGTGTTTAAATAGATTTGATACCCTGGTAAAAATTGGCGATAAGAGCTGCGTTTCAAAATACCATAGGAATTCTTAAAGCCGGCTAAAGAAGGCTACAGAAAATCATATAGCTGGCTGTAGAATGCGGAGAAAATCATACGGCCGGGCTATACGAAGCGATAAAAACTTATGCAGCCGGGCTATAGTTCCTCTCGCCGGGCTTTACACTTTATCGCCTGGCTGTTGCTTTTTCGCCATCGGCTATAAAAGGCTATAAGAAATTGTGTAGAAATTCGTGTGCTTTGGAAATCATCAAGTTTGATACGGAACCACCTTAATATTTACAAAACACACATTATATTTTCCTTTAATACATATTTTTTCTCATGCATCAATTAAAATGAGAATACTCAATACAGGATGTGCAAACATTTCAAAATCATAAGTTGAACAACGCTGACTCCGCCAGATTAAATATTAGAGCCCAACACAAAGCGGAGCGGCGCGGCGAAGCACTGGCGCCTACAAACCCAACAGGGATACTTCACGCATTGCGCAACGCGTGAAGTATCCCTGTTAGGTTTGTAGGCGCCAATGCGTGTTCCGCGCTGGCTGCCCGCCTGCCACGGCGCTTGAAGCAACTATTTCACACCAGAGGTATTGCACAGTATCATACGAAACTGAAGGCGCTCTAATATATTTGTAATGGTAGGCATCCATCAAAAGTACGGAGCTTTCCTCGCAAAATAAATCAAGATACTACGGCCCAAAAAGGGAGCAGTATTCCAAAAACTCACTAATTGTAAGTCCTAGCATCCGTAATTAGTATACACTTTATCACCTGGCTGTTGCTTAATCGCCATCGGCTATAAAAGGTTATAAGAAATTGTGTAGTCGGCTATAGAAGCTATTGGAAATCTTTCAGCCGGCTGTAGGTCTATGGTATTTTGGAATACAGATTCTACTGCCAATTTTTACCAGGGTAATTCTGTCACATCATCCTCTATGTCTTATCAGTTTAATATTCGTAATTTATTCTCATTCGAGAGTGTACTTTTAGATACTTAAAATCCTCTTTTTACCCGCACATTTTATGGAAAGGGTAGGAACGTAATTCGAATATAATGAGCAACTTTCAAAGTAATTATTCAAATTTTCGTAGGTAATTTTAAAGCGCAGCTCTCTTCGTGTGTATAAGAGAAATGAGGTGAACGGCATCACCAGAATCATGCCTACAGCTACATTCATGTTGCCTAATTTTATTCCATGTTTTGCTTTTCGAGCAGAAAACCGAAAACCATTAGCCTTAAAATGGTGTGTGCATTTCATGATTAAGAAGACTGTAACCTCACTACACACGTCCATAAGTTGGTTAGTTTTCTGTTTATAGAATAAAATAAGGAGGAAAATAGGCAATACTTAATTAATCAATTTACGTTCATTTTGATCGAATCCGTCCAAAGTCCCCTCGTAAATTATCGAATCTTAAAAAATATGAAATTGGTCAGTTTGCAAATGATCTAGATCCTCCTCAGCGACCAAAAATCGCAGCTCTCTTGAGGAGACGAATCTTCTACACTATCAACATTTCACATTTGGGTTCCCATTTACAACCTTTTGAATACGGGTGAGCAAAATAGCCACATCTTTATTGCAATGTTTCAAAATCTTACCTCCTATTTTAGATTTCTGGAAGGATATCAATCAATATTTCAAGGAATCAACATTTTTGCTTAAAATTTTGTGGAAGTAGGTATCCTTTGCATGTGCAAGATTGGTACAATATCCAAGTGGGGATCCGCAGTTGGATATAAAATTAAAATAGAAGATGAGATTTTGAAACACTGCATTACAGATGAGACTATTTTGCTTAACTCTATCCATTTCATCACTGGGAGCGCCTGAGAGGGTTTTTGATTTTATGTTTCGCAATGGAGGCATATTATCTGTGAAGCACAATCTGGCGTGAAAAAAACGCGAAGTACTGAGAAATATTTGAAAAGACGGGAATTAAGGATATAGTTTTACGCACTGGAAAAAAACACATTGGATCTAGAGTCCAGACTCTTAAAAACATCGAAAAGAAAAAGTACTCTTGATTCAATCAGACTTAAGTTTAAATTAAGAACCAAGCCTCTTAATTTGAGTGGATTTCCTTTTGGCTTAAGCTTAAATCTGATTAAATCAAGAGCCATTTTTTTTGTCAATGTTTTCAAGAGTCTGGACTCTAGATCCAATGTGTTTTTTTTTTCCAGTGCGTCTCATACATTTATTTGACGAATTTTATTTTAACGTGTGTCATTATAAATATTTAGGTATCGAGATGTGATTTAAAGGCGGAACGAAACTTACTGTCGGTAATCTGTATCGGTAATCATTGATTACCGTCTATTACCGTTGACACAACCGATCAGAGTTAATCTGATTATATTTGATAGAGGATGAGCAAGCTCATCTCCTAATTGTGTTACTCGTAGCGATTTAACAAGCGCACGAAGGTGCATTTTATCTTTCTGTCTCCTTACACTGTGTTCTTTGTTTGTCAGTGGCTGGGCTATCGGCAACCTACATGCGTGAGTAAACTCCGTTTCCTCGTGAGCTACCAATTAAAGTGCAAATAATTTTGATTGCCAAAGCATTCCGCTCGGTAGTAAGCACAGCTTTATCGCCCTTGCCCGCCCCCTTACTATAACCCTGTTTTTATTCTCATTCCTAGGTGTATAGTTGCTCCTCTGCTCTCGCATTAATCACCCCTCGATCAGCAACCACACCAGCCCTCAAATTAGCCGATTTCCCCTAAAATGATCCTATCTGACGACTCGTAACTCAACAATTGAGCAAGAAAGTCCTCCTGCATGGAATATGGATTTGAGGCATTCAAACTGAGATCAAAAGTGGAGAGAAAGCTTTGAAAAAGAACTCTTAATACTTAATCTTAATGCTACTAATATTGAAGGTGAAGGATCATGTTAGAGAAATCGCTTTATTTGAAGTATGAACCCTGTAATCATTTATCACCCCACAGCAGTCACTCATGTCTCCATTTAATCATCTAAACCAAAAACTCTGTAGGTACTAAGATTTAGAATTTTGAGTCAGTTTTTCCATTAAGCTTGTTCTTATGAAATTGAAATTATTAATCCCCTACCTAAATATTTGCGCTTATCTTAATTATTTGTAGAATATTGTGTTGAAGTCTTCAAAACAAAAATCGAGTAATTTGCCCTGTATATGTAAGACAATTTCGCTGAAACTCATTTCCAAACTATACCCTCTAAACCCCCCCCCCCCCCNTTCAAGTGACACCAGTTTTAAATCGAACATCCTTAACTGGGGAAGTTTTTTGTAAATACATACCAGTAGAATAAGTATCAAAATAACGATACGGTTAAAACATGTGTGAGTAGATGAGCAGAAAATAAGTATCGAATAAGGTATCTTTGAGTGGAAATTTTGCATGAAAATGATGACTTATGTCGGAATAACTATTCACTAGATCGTCTTAGTTTTGATGCTTACTGAAACATAATTTAAATCTCAGAAATGACTGAAGTTTCCTTATGAACACCAAATAGGAGCACATTTACCTACGCGGACCCCTATGATTTGAGCATCAAAGAAAGTAACTAAAGATATCACGTTCATCGTAAAGTCTGTGCATTATACTCAATCTGATTGGCAGTCAAGTAAGGGAACTTCCCATTTAAACATCTGTTATATTCGTGCGAAAATAAGGGAAGGAAAAGAGACTGCATCAGCATCTTTCAGAATTGCGTGTCTTCTCAAACTGTCCGAGTAACCCATAGTTCTCTACAGAAGCAAACAGTTAAACAAATTTGGAAGGGTTAAAAATAATTATTCTTTAAGCTTCCTTTTATTTTCAATTGAAGCCCTCGCCAGTAGGGCTAGTAGTAAACAACAAATGCTGAAATGTAGCTTTGCTTACTCCTGAAATGAGTCTAAACTTCCGAACACAATATACTGAAGTGTACAAGATGAAAAAATCATCAGATTATATACGGGAATTGATTTGAGCCTCTTACTCATCAACTGCACGAAATATTTTTCCACACATGCCAAGTTGGATGGACCAACCTACGCATTTGGACCTACACAGTGTGGCGTAGTTCTGTATTGGAGCAAGCGTAACCGCATTGAAAAATTTGTCAAAAGTATTGTTATACACACCGAAGGCTGTTGTCGAAAATTGCATACTTCTGATTGCAACATCGCAAATCTCCGTTCATGGTTTCTTCCTCCTCTTTGGGAAACCAATCAACGATTGGATTGATTTTTTTTTTAAATCATCTTTGAATTTTCCTCTTCAAATCAAAAATATTTACTAAAAATTCCGAGGAGACATTTGTTACTACTTATAAAAGCGCAACATAATCGGAGATTTTTAAACCCTGCAATAGAGATACTCGTTCCCCGACTAGTATGCCTCAAATAACGAGAGCATAGGTACTTAAAAGTTCCACATCGAAAAATTTCATACCGATGGCCAAACTTGGGAACCTATATCTTGCTGGGCAAAGTTAATAATACTCAATAAAAAAGTCGAGTATTAAAGTCGACCAGTTGCCTTTAAAAAATCAACCAGGAGCAGTTACTTTGAAACGCCGCAATTTAGATGATGCTTTAGTTTAGCCATCGATACTTATTTTTGATCGAGCAGAATGGTCAGAAAATGTACCCATCGCAATTAAAGATTTGCACAACCACTAGCATGAGATTCGGGGAGAATCTTTCATAGTAGCTTACCGGTTCCGCAAATACCTCACCCTTCCATTGCAAACGCCCCCCCCCCATGATAATGTACATATATTTTATTACCTATGTAAATATTTTGTAAAAATCTTGTTTTTTAAAAAAGAAAAAAAGTATCTTGAAGTCACTGTCAGTTATCTCTATGCGACTCTCTCTCTATCTGTATGCTATATTTAGACGAGAGGAACATATCAGAATATTCGCGAAGGAAGGAGTCCATAGTTTTGTGTACTGATTCGGGGGGTAGTTTTATGAGATTGAAAGAATGAAAAAGGGGAGAAAACGTAATACTTCCTGACGTAAATTTATCCCAGTTTTAGTTTGTGGTGCTTCTAGTCATATTTTGGTCAATCGATTGATAGCGTCAATTTACCCGCATTTCAGCCGAAATCGTGGTTTCATAACTCTGCGGTTTGTTATACCGTCAGTGTAATGACATCCATCAATACTCCATATCACACGTAGGTTCATTGCAAACCCTCCATTGCTTGGTAACCAAATTAGCCAATTCTGTAGCTTTTTTCAGATCGGTTAGTATCATTACTTGTGAGCCATCACATAAACCACTCACTTCCTTTTTGCACGAAGTTCAAACATTTTTGCTGTACGCACTAATTCCTCTTTTGCTCGGAGAGGTGTAGCTTTCTATTTTATCTCGTTCCAGACAAACTTTGACTCCTTAATTTATTAATTTTATTTTTTGTCTAGATGATTACTGATAAACCTGCCGTAATAGGTTTGTGTTGAGCATTGTTTTTGTAAAGTTGAGGATTTCGTTAAATGCAGTTACTGAGTAGATAAATTTGTGATTTTCTGGTTCGTCAAGTTGCCGAGTTTCCTCTAATTTTTCTTTATGTTTGCTCAAAGAAATACAGCTTATCATTTTTTGCTTCTCTTTGCTCTGAGGTAAATTACAAGTACTATCTTCGGCGGTGATCTTCTTGTAATCAAAAGCCGCCAAGATGTTAAGTTGGCAATCAGTGATGCGGCGTGATCAATTATCGATTTTCTCCCATTTGAAGCTATGGTAAAGAATCGATTATCAAGGTGTTTGTCGAGAACTCCCTGGTTATCGATCCTTTTCCATAGATTTAAATGGTAGATCAATCGATATATCGCATAGCACGCCACGCCACTGTTGGCGATGCCCTTACGGCTTACGTCCCCACTTCACCGCCCATACACCGCTTGCTTGCGAATATAGTAGATTTACGCTGCACGAAAGACGACCTGCGGGTAAATTTCTAAAAGCGCAAACCAAACGCGCAAATGATTATTTGCGTTTCTAAGGTGGCGATGTGTGACACATGATTATTACTTCAGGATCATCGAATTGAAGTAGTGTAATCCTTTATGTAGGTATTTGCGCTTCTGGGCTGAGTCTCGACACTCTACGCATTTATCACTTTCGAGGATTGCGCTTTTGAAAATTTGCATTTTTGGGTAAGGCACGATCTATGCGCCTTAATTTTCTAATGTATGCAAGACGGACAACAATTGAAGAAATCCAGTCGCCATTAATATTTCATCAAAGAAAAATGTATCGATTTTGAAAAAGATTCTTTCATTCTCACTGTTTTATTGGATCCAATTCGGTGTAACGAAGAACTCTTAGGTACGTTGACGTCACCATTAATTAGCTGTTTGTAATTTTGCCGTAAACTTTGCGTCAGGGTGACTCTCGCTGAGAGAATCAACTCACATACTGGGCCCATCTTTGTTACTTAAATGGGATGGTGACGAATTTTTTGAACATTAAAATATCGATTCTACGGTAGTAATGTTCAGAATAGAATGATTATTCATTTTAGGGAGAAGAAATATCGTTGAATTTGGACAAAGCAGATAATATACAGCAATGCTATCGTAAGATGATTGAGACATGCATAATTATTATTTGAAGTAGCTATTATGCTTGTAGTTTGAAACTCATCTCTTCATTTTCTTCTCTAACCACTCGAATTAGAGAACATGTTCAGGAAGAAAGCTAACGTCCCACCTCCAGTTTAATGCTACTTGATTTTAAGGTAGAGATTGCTTAATTTCTCCTCTGAATTAGTTATAATTTATGTTATGGCCACAAAACCTTGTATTTTCCAGAGAATAAGTTTTCTATTTTTTTGAAGATTAAGCCCTGGATAAAGGAGAACAATTTAATGTTCCGCGAAGGGCATTGAGAAATCATACTTCACCTTTGATTTCTCTTGTAATTTTTCTCCTATCAGCTTTCTTGAGGCCAATTCGCAAAACCTAAACGTGAAAGTCAGTCGGTTTCATTTCAAGAAAATACGACTTGAGAGTAATTTTTGCAATCGAGAAGAGTATTCTTACGTTCACGACCGAGGTGTTCTGTCAAAACTGCCGTTTCATTCAGCTGATTTCATTTTTTCAGTTCTCTTCATTCGCTGTTCGCTAACTTTGCATGCTCTTGCTTTAGTTTTTAATCATAACTCTATTCTTTCCGCACATACAGACATGTTGTATTTAAATTTTAAACAAGTTTTTAGTTTGAATAATGTGTTCATTTTCTCTCACTCGTCAAATATGAGACCATTTTTTCTTTTTTTCGGTTCGGCGATTTTTGTTGGTCAGGTAACATTTCAAATATTTAAATATTGTTATGGTTGGTTGTGAGTAATCAACAATTTTAAAGAAAAAACATAATGTTGGCTTAGATGCACGCGTAGCAAAAACTTGTTTTCCGCCAATATTGAATGGAAAAGCAGTGCGCTGCGCGCACTGCTGTGTAAACGACGGATGTAGCGCCTTCAAGTTTTCATGTATGCAACACACACGGTCATTG